GGCGGTGTGATGGTATATAGGAACCTCCATGCTCCGCTTTGTTTCGTGTGGACAGCACTACCTTGCGCTGCACTGCCACCGACTGTCAACAGCCGTGGAGCGCTAGCCGTCCAGTGTGGTCGATCGGTGGGGATGAGAGAGAGAGAGAGAGAGAGAGAGAGAGAGAGAGAGAGAGAGAGAGAGAGAGAGAGAGAGATGGCCGTCGAGCTGGCTTGGAGGGAGGTGGTGCGCGGAGACACGCTGCTCTGCTGGGAGAAGCGCAGCGAGCGCGACAGGTGGTTCAGCCGCCCTTTGGATGCGTTCGGCCGCGAAATAACGAAGAAATCGTACCGTTTCTACGGCGTCGACGTCAATGAAAGAGCTGCCGTGGACATTGATGCTGCCCTCGGTTTTCAGAGGCGGTCATTGTCACATGTGCTCCTATGGGTGAAGAAGACGGGGGATTTCATCCCCGACGAGCATACGTCGATGCCTGACATCGTCGGAGATATCGTTGAGAGGTTTTTGGACAACCTCGCGTCCGAGCACGCTTCGAGTTTGGATATGGGGGCCTTTTACTACACTTTCTTCGACCCCCCTCTTCTCCCCCGTCATTATCTGCATGGGGAGATAAGGCTTTGAATCAGCGCATGGTGATTCCTCCATCGCTAGCTTGAAACGTGGCATCCGGTCCGCGACTTGCTACATTGCTTGCGCCCTGACATTGTGTTCCCCTTCGTGTTAAGAGTGCATGCCGATGCCGCGCTTTCCGGCGCTTCGACTATGCTGTTGTCTGCGTTATGGTATGTGGAAGTCTTCACAATCGGCGGTCGGGGGAGGGGAGTTTAGACGTGGGGATTTGGGATTGTTTGGAAATCGAGCTACGGCGGAAGTGCCACGTGGCGGTCGCAGGGCGGCCGGGGGTGGTTGGACGTCGGGGTCCGGGGATTTTTGGGATTTGTGCCACGGCGGAACTGCCACGTGGCGGTCGCAGGGCGGCCGTGCTGTGTACATCAACTGTTCCATCGGTAGGGTGGATGTGATGGAAATAGTGTCCGTCTTGTTTTTTTTTTGTTTTTTTGGGTGCTCTCCCACGCGGGCGGCTTTAGAACTGCTGTCGGATTTCTTCTATTGTGCTGCTTTCGTGAACAGTTGGCGAGAACCTGGATTGTTCTGAGACGAGAGGAAATTTCCGAGGTTGTCTTTCGTAGGAAGATGGAGACGAAGCTTGCCTTGAAATTCCATGGTTCGTTGTATGTTCGTCTCTTTGTGTTTCAAGTTTTTTATTTCACTCGTCGTGAACGCATTCGAATCAGGGTATGATTTTCTTGTTGTTTATCTTCTGTTTTTTTTTTTTTTTTCCCTTTTTCCAACCTCGTGCATGGGGAATTGCATCAACGACAACAACAAAAGAATGGTGGCTGGAGTTTACTTTGGATGATATGGACTCCAGATGTTGCTGATGCGCTGATGACGAGCGCATACGATGGGTGCACACACACACACACACACACACACACACACACACACACGCATACACTCACGTGTATGCATGGGTTTGTGTGTGTGTTTGTGTGTGTGTGTGGGTTGG